AGCTCTTTATAATAATAGAAGTACTATAAATATATATCTTTTTTATAATATAAACTTAAAAGTTACTAAATTATTAATCTTAAGTTTAGTTTTAATAATAATAATTTTAATAATAGCCTCTTTAGTAACTTCTTTAGTAATAATAACTTAATAAGTCCTCTTAATAAGTATAATAATCCTAATTAATAATAAAATAGAGTATTAAAGAGGATCTCTAATAGTATCTTATACTAATTATTATATATATTATTATTTCTATATATTATTAATAATAAATAATAGATAATACCTAAATAGGTTATTATCTACGTACTAAACTATATAGTAGTATTTAAGAAATATTATAATACCTTTAGATAATAAGATTTAATAAGAATAGATTAATTAAAATTATTAAAATAGGTTAATTACTATACTATAAGTATCTATATAATATTAAGTAAATTTTTATATATATATAGGGATTATATATATATAATTTCAGTAAAAAGGAGGGGTAGACGCTATTAACATAACAAACTATAGTATTATAGCCTGCTTAGTCTACTTTATTTTATAATATATTAAAATATTAATATTACTAGCTATTTAAGAGAACTTAGTGTTTAGCTCTAAGAGTGTAGTATTATAACCTATAAGCAAGGATAACAGTTAGTTAACCTACCTTAGGCGTTAGGCAGCTAGGATAGGATATTTATACTCTATAGGATTATAGGAATAATAGGGACTTACTTAGAAATAGAAGAACTATAGTATAGGTTATATAATAATAAAGAATAAATATAAATAAAGAACCTATAATAAGTACTTAGTAGATATTAGAATAAGTACTTATCCTACTTTAGAATAAGTACTTATAATAATAAAGGAGATAGTACTTATAAATAGTAGGACTATTTATATAAAGGACCTATATATAAAATAACCTTAAGCCTTAGTTTATAATTAGATTTCTATAGCTCTTTAGTAATTAACTTAGTATTTATCCTTATAAATACTCTTAACTTACCTTTATTATAAATTACTTATTAAGTTTAAAATTAATTACTTTAGCTTCTAAAGACCTAATCTACTATTAACTTATAACCTATAACCTAAACTATAACCTTAGTATACTATTATAATATATTAATCCCTAGCTTCTATTAGCAGACCTTATTATTAGATAGCTAACTATAATACTTTAATTACTCTTATTTAGTAAATTAACTATTAATACCTACTAATAGTAAAATAATAAGTATATCTTTATATACCTCTACTAAGTTACCTATTTTAGGGATCTCCTCCTCTTTATAGTAACTAGTTTAGAACCTAGTTAAAGAACTTAAAAAAGCCCTTATAGTAGTAGACTCTAATAATAAAGTAACCCTAAAGAAAAACACTTATAAATACCTTTAAGCTAGAGTTAAGAAAGGAGATAATAATATTACTAAAGTTTAGACTATATATAATAATACTATTATAGAACTTTAAAACCTTAAAGAAATAATATAATAACTAGGAAATAGCCTCTAATATATTATAAATTTAGAAAACGAAGTTATCTAATTTAGAGGATAAAATAGTAATACTAATATTAAGAAACTCTAAGAAGAAATTTATACTTTATATATAGCTACTAATATTATTATAACCTCTACTAGAGGATAATAAAAACTTAAGCTTAATACCTTAATTATTTATAATAATACCTCTAAATAACTTAAGTTATTCCTAATCTAAATTAAAAACTATTAAAACTTCTACTATAGAGATTTTACTAGCTAAACTAAAAAAGTTATTTATACTACTACTTACCTATAAAGATAAGCTTTTAAGTAGTTTAAACCTATTTAAGAAGAGTTCTTTAAGTATAAAACCTTAAATAAATACTCTATTAAAACCTATAATATCTATAGTAACTTTAAAGGATTTAAAGATACCTTTTACTCTCTCTTCTAAAACCTTAATAAGAAATAATAAGCTAAAAAAGACCTTATATAACTATAATAAATAAAGTTAACTAAAATATATACTACTATATTTAGATAACTTAGTATTTAATTTAATCTTACTAAAGAAACTAAGATCTTTATATTTTATTAAGAACTTAAGGATAAAGTTAAAGATAAGATTATTAAGATTAATTATCTAAAAAACTTTTTTTAGTATACTAACCTTACTATTAAAATTAATAATTAACTTTTTAAACGCTATAAAGAAAAAGGTAAAAAATAATAAGGACTAAACTTTAGATATAAGTACTAATAATAGCCTTATTAGAAGTTTAACCCCTAGTAGAACGATAATAGACCTTATAATAACTAGAATAACACCTATTAAAGTACTACCTATAAATAGTATAGTAAACCTATAGATCTTAATATAATAACTAAACTTAATAATAAGAAACTATAGAACCCTAAGTATTATAACTATAATAAATAAAGATATATTACTAGAGATTATAAATAACCTAAGAAGTTTCCCTAGAAATTAATAGCTAAATAACCCTAATAAGTTAATACTATTACTAAAGTCCTATATATATCTTAGTCCTAAACTAAATATTATAATAATAATTATTAAATCTACTTAAAAAATAAAGAAATATTAAGATACTACCTAAAAGATAGTAACTTTAGATAATCTAAATATAATATAACTACCTTAGATATATATCTAAGAACCTTAGTAATAATATATATTAGTAATAATAAGATCTATAGAAAAACCTAAGAATAACTTAATAAGATACTATAAGTATAGTAACTTAAACTAATTCCTAGTTCTACCTTAAAAATAACTAATAGCTAAAGTTAGACTAACTATAAACTCCTAAACTAGACTACTTATATAATACTAAAAGAATAGATAAGAGAAAAATCTAATAATAAACTAAATTACTAGTATAACCCCCTAGAAGAATAGTAACTATTTAATCTTATAAATAACTAGACTTTTAAAAAAAGAGAAGGTTTTCTTTATAACTTAAATAAACCTTATAATATTATATACTAATATACTTAAGTAGAGATTACTTATAAGCTTACCCTTAGTATAGATAATATTAGCTCTAAAGAGGAATCTAAGAAGGATAATATACCTAAGCAAATTATATATAAGCAAATTAACTTATATAATAATAAATAGTTTATTAAACTTTATAGTATACTTAATATAGGACTAAGAATATATTATACCTTATAACTTAGAATTAAAGATTACCCCTACCTTAGAATTACTAACCCTAATTATTAATACTTCTTTTAGGTATAATATTTCTTTAATTATTATAAAATCTATATAGGAGATAAATATAACTACTATTTCTAACCTAAGTAATATAATAATAGTCCTCTATAAAATATCTATACTATATATACCCTTACTAAATAAGAATTTAAAAAGTTTAATAGTAATATTACTATATTTACTCCTAGTTAATAATTTCCTATAGAATACCTTTATAATAAATAAATAAAATAAGATAAATACTAATATAATAAATACTAGATCTACTATAAGGAAAAAGTATATACTTAGAGAATCATAAAGAATAAACCTTAACTTCTTTAGGTTAGATATTATAAAAACAGCTTTATAAAAGTATAATAAGAAGGAAAGTAAATTACCTATTTAGGATACTTAGAATAGTTAAAAAACTAGACTTATCTACTAAAATAAAACTATAATAGGTAATAAAAAAAAGGTTTATTTACTAAATATTATAAAGATATTAAGGTAATATAGAACTTAAAGTTACTATTAACTAATAAATAATATTTATACTAATTAATAATAGAACTAAAGTAAACTTTATTACCCCCTAAGTTATTAATAAATTAAAAATATTATAGGGAGGAAAAGAATAATTATATTAGTTATATATAGTAGAAAGAGAAGAATTTAAGTATAAAGGAGGTATTATCTATAATAAAACTATACTTCTTAAAATAAGTTATTTAAATTAAAAAGAAAGAATCTAATTTAATATTACTAATTTAGGAATATATAATATAATACTAGGACTATTTTAACTATAAGTAAGTAACCTATAAATAAATTAGAATAAAGGTTAACTCTATTAGGACTATAATAACTTAGTCCTTAAATAACCCTATTAAAAATAGGCCTTAAATAAACTAATATAATAAGGAACTATAAAATAATATATCTACTACTTTAAAGTAAAATAAGCTATATTATAACTATTAATAATAATAGATCTTAAATAAAAAAATAATCTACTTCTATTTATCTTAGAAGAGTATAGAGTTTATAAGAAACTCTTTATAGTTAAATTAGAGACTAAACTACCTAAATATACTAGTTTTAATTATAAAATCCCCCTTAAAGAAGGGAAAGAACTATAATTTAATAAGATCTATAGACTTAACTTAATAGAGATAGAAGTTTTAAATAAGTACCTTAAAGAAAACCTTAGGAAAAGTTATATTAGACCTTTAATATTACTAATAAGAAACCCTATCCTATTTATACTAAAGAAGAATAGAAAATTATAATTATATATTAACTATTATATACTTAATAAAATAATAATTAAGAATTATTACTTACTACTCCTTATAGATAAAATAAGATAACTCTTATATAAAACTAATTAATTTATAACCTTTAACTTTAAAGGAACTTATAACTTAATCTAAATAAAATAAAGTAAAGAATAGAAAACTACTTTCTAGATATAAAAAAGATATTTTAAGTACCTCATTATACCTTTTAGTTTTATTAATATACCTATAATATTCTAGAATATAATTAATATAATACTATATAAATATATTAATATCTATATAGTTATCTACTTAGATAATATCCTTATCTTCTTATTTATACTTAAGAAGTATAAAAAAGATATTCACTATATCTTATAAACCTTTTAAAAAACTAAACTCTTAGTTAAACCTAAAAAAAGTAAATTTTATATATAAAAAGTAGAATACTTTAGATTTACTATTACCCCTAA